CGAGCGCCCCGGTCCTCCGGCCGCAGCCCCACGGCCGTCGCGCCTCCCCGGGCAACGAGCGAAGCCCGGGGCCAGCCCCTGGCGCGTACTCACCTCGGGTTGAAGTCCTGGAAAAGGCCCCTCAGGTTCATGGCGAAGAACTTCACCGCTGCGTCCTCCTCTTCTCCGCTTCCCCCGCGCCGCGCAGCCTGCGCCTTACAGCGGGTTCATGGTGCCTGTGCCAGCCGCGTCCCAGCCGCCCGCCGCCTGAAGAAACCTGAGCCACTGCTCCCCGCCCCTCCTTCCGGGCTTCCGTACGTCGTCGATCGCGCATGCTCCCCAGCCCCGCCCCGAGCTCGCGGAGCCAGGGAAGCTCTTGGCCCTTGGTCCCGGCACAACCCGCTGAGCAGAGAGCGGGGAGAGCCGGACAAGGAGAAGGGGCCGCCAGGAAGCCGGAGAGCCGCGTGGGGACGCTGACTGGGTGAAGGGCGGCAAGAAGGGAGTGCACGACCCGGAAGTCCGGCGGTGAGTTCTTCGGGAACACCTGTCATCTCGGCTCGGACTGCTTTATGGAGATTTCTCTGAGAGTAAGCTGAGGGGTGATATGTACTGGCAATGGATGAGACGTTAGCTCTGCCAGCGATTCCACAGTTTGCATATCATCTTCCCTTCCAAGGCCCAGGTCGGCATGTCAAGATAAGCTGTCCATCCCAAACTGAAGTTATCAGGCACAAAAAAAGGAAAAAAATATATGTATATACGAGATAGTTAAGACTGTTACACAGCTAGTTTCTCTTAGCACAAAGAAAGTTTTGTGTTAATATTGCATGGACGAGATATCATGCATATATCTTCTACTCTGGATACTAGGAAGACAACAATACACAATATATCAACTATTGTAACTGTCAGAATAACCTGTTTTGAAACTCGTTTTCATTGTTATGTTTATTTTTTTTTTAAAAGGAAAGAACAGCTGGGGTGGGGGAAAGGAGAAAAGAAGGAATATATAATATAGATAAGTATATATATATACAAGATAGCTAAGATAATTGTACTACTAATTTCTATTGGTTCATTGAAAGGAACAGTTAATGCTTAATTGTTTGATCAGTCTTGCATACCTATATCTGGTAATCTGAACAACTATTTTGAAGATAGCAATATGTAATATAGCAATCATTGTTAATTTCCTATCATCTTGTTTTGAAACTCTGTATCGTTTTTATTGTGTTTTGTTGCTTTGTTTTTGTTTGGAGTTTTTCATTCTCTTTAAAATAAATAAATAAATAAAATAAAAGGAAGTTATCAGGCACCAAAATCATCTCCCTCCCAGTCATTTTCCCCTCCTGAGTTCCCTCTCTTTATTGGCAAGTGGCCTATTCAAGGGAATACCCAAAGTTGAGAACCCATTCTTTCTTTCACCTTTTTCTTTCTTTCTTTTCTTTCTTTCTTTCTTTCTTTCTTTCTTTCTTTCTTTCTTTCTTTCTTTCTTTTTTTCTTTCTTACTTTTTCTCTCTCTCTCTTTCTTTCTTTTGTTTAATTCTCACTTTTCTAACCTAATTTAGGCTCTTTAACGTCTGTCTAGACTTTGTGGTCATCTCAGACTTGGCCTCTTCCCCAACTCCTAGCCATCCTGCTTAGAAGTGCCAGGTTCATTTTATTCGGACAAGTCATCATCTTTGAGCCTCAGTTTTTCTCTTCTGCAAAGTAGAGATGATAAAACCTACTTCCTCAGCTTGTCAGCAAGATTTAATGAAAGCATGCATAGCACATTTCCTGGTGCCCACTAGGTACTCAAAGATTTGCTAGCTGGCACTCTTTCTTTTTTTCTTTCTTTTTTTTTCTTTTTGAGACAGGGTCTTGCTATGCAGTTCAGGCTGGCCTTGAGCTCACTTTGTAACCCAGACTGGTCTCAAACTCACAACGATCCTCCTGCCTCAGCTTCCTGACTGCTGGGATTACAGGCATGCACCACCATGCCCAGCTAGGTGGTACTCTTTCAACTGCCAACCTCCTAAGGATTCTCTTTGCTTTTGTAATCCAAGAGCAAGACAACCTCACAGCAAGTGACTTGGTCTTCTCTCTTCACTTCTGGTGGATTTCAGGTTTTCATGAGCACAGCAGTACCTTAAACATGATTTCATTGGGGATAATAGCTTGTTACAGTAGCAGAGTTTCATGAATGGCAGTTTTTACTGGTTAGCCCCAGGGGAAGCTTGAGAAGATCACACTTGTGAGAATCATACTTTGCTGTGATGTATCACCTTTCTTCTAAGGACTTGAAAACATTTCACAAGTGGTAATTAGGCTTCCCAACACTCACTGGGGAGTGGATATTATTATATGAGCTGGCTTTAAGGATGAGTAACCAGAATCAAACTTTTAGCTTTTAAAGCACCAGGATACTGTTCCAGAAATTTTGGTCCTGTTCCCATGTCCATCCTCTAGGTGATGTCCAATGTGTAACCTCAAGAAAGTTCCCAAGGAACATTGAAATACAGAAGAGGAAGTGAGGCACAGAGAAGCTCATATAAGTGCCCGGGGGCACCAACCTAGTGGAGCAAAAATAAAACTCAATGTCCAGCAAAATCTGCATATCAGACTGCTAGAAAGGAGAACCTGTCAGTTGTCAGGATGGCCAGCACCATCTTAATTACTGATGGTCTCACCACAAGCAGGCATTAAGAGGGGTGGTGTCTTGTTAATTCAAACACTTGAAATACCAGGCATTATCACTCTCTCAAACGTTTCATAGACAGTGACCAGGTAGGCTATGTAGAGTTCAGATGCTACTTTTGGTGAGGTCTCGGGGAGTCTTTGGAGCTGAACCACTGCTCTCTGTGTGCCCACATGTTCAATTTTCGCATTCCTTCCAGAGATGACTAAGCCATAGAGACTGTCTAGCCTGGATAATAAAACACTAATATACAAACAAGTTGTCAGTGTATTCTTTTGCTGTAACAAGCTAACTTGCCAAGGGAAGCATATGAGCCTGTCCTTGAAGACATGCAGGAAAAAGTGGACTTTCCCAAAGCCTCAGATCATCAGACTTTAAGAGGAGGATTCTTCCACTGCTAACTACACTAGAGGCCTAGCTCTGTGTTCTACCAGTGCTGCCATGGAACCAAAAGCTAGAAACTCCCAGTGTCCTCCCTCTAGAAAGTGCAAAAGATCCTTGTGCTAATCTGCTTCCCACCTTTTGTGATGTTCCACCCTGGATTGAGGCATAAGGCTTCACTGGCCTGTGTAGACAGATCCATAAGTGACCTTAACACTGAGAAAAGACTGAGCCACATGCAGGATGAATAGTCCCATCTTTTCCTTTAGCAAAGTTTTGACTTTTACTTGTTTTAGTTTCCTCTTGACTTGGCACCATATTCTAGGACCATCTTATAAGAAGTTTCTAACATTCCCACCCTGGGACAAAAAAAAGGTTCAAAAATGGTTTGGGAAAACATAGCCCCTAAATAAAGCCTGAAAGTATATACATGTGGCTTTGGTGTGGACACATGTTAAAGTATCCCAGAAGCATCAGTGAATATATGAACCATGGTTTTAGATATTGTCTTAAACTTTTGCCACCTTCTTGATAAGTTGGTGGTTTGTTGAATACATTATTTCTCTTGGCTCTAATGTGAGACTTAGAAGACAGACTTCTGAAGAGCAAGGTCCTGGAGGAGAGACTCCTGGTATATTCTGATCCTTTCATTAGAGGTCCTGGACTAGGGAAGAAAGTGACTGCGATCCACCTCGCTATAGGACCAGGATGCCTCACTGAGATGCAACAGAACAGTGGAGAAAGTGTAGAATTAGAAGGCTTGTACTCAGCACCAGTTTTACTGTTGGCCCAGTGGGAGGAGGAACATCCTGGGCAAGGCCACTGGGGCTACTAAAGAGCTCTCAGAGCCAGGAAGTACGGAGGTATCAGTTATCAAGACTGGCTCCCCTTCGGTCTGAAATTCCCCACTCTAAGTTGCCTTAGTGCACACTCTGATTACTACCAGTTAGAGGGTTTGTGTAGACCTCAGGACTTTATCCACTTGCAAAATGCAGCTTGCCTTGTCCTAAGACAGCCCTTTGTTCCTGGCAAATTTAGCCAGAGTTGGCTAAATGTGGGCTTTCTGATCCTGAAATCTCTCTGGGAGGTGGTTTAGTCTAGAGTCTCAACAAGGGTGTGACAGATTAGAGGGCTGGATTTGGGGAGTTGGAGATCTTGGGCAGGAGTTGAAAGGTCACAGAAAACAAGGGAGGAGGCAATACCTATGATTCTGCTCCGATCTGCAACTCCCCCCTCATCTTTAAGATCCCATAAGGAGATATCTCCTCAGGGAAGCTTCTCTTGGGGCTTGCAAACTGAAGTTGTCGAGAGAGAAGAGAATAGTTACAAGGCCCCAGTGGCCCTCCTGTCGCGAAGCACGGTCCCTGGGAGAAGGTACATCATCATCTCTCACAGAGCAAGCTTTGCACTGAAGGGAGCAGGGGCCATTTTCTCTCGGAGCGCAGAGTGGAGAGGCTGCGCTTGTACCTGCATAGCTACCGCAGCGTCCCTGTGCTTCCCCTATGAGCCACTTCTGCTGCCACGGCTTGCTGGACATCTGCTAGGTGGATAGGGAGGCTCACTGGACCCCCTTCTCCAGTGCTTTGTGCTTGCAAAGCCCAAATCAAGTGATGTAGCCAGATACACGGGACAGACAGGAAAGAACACCTGTAGCAGACAGGTCACCAACCAGCTGCTTATGCAACTCTTGTTCTCATCCTCATCACCCCTTTCTGTTATCTTTTCTCCTTTTCTGCTTCAACACTGGCTTTCTGTCGCATTCCTCTGGGCCTCTCAGCCCTAACTCTGGTGTCCTTTCCTCCCCTTGGCTTCCCCTAAAGCACACTTTCAGTGGGGGCAGCCTGTAACTTTTCATCCTTCCATTGTCTTCATCCAACACTTGTTTTCAAAAGCATCTGCTTTGTGTCAGGTGCTGTGGGAGAGACTCAGAACACATAGAAATGAATAATGAAAACGCAGCATTGTGCATGATAAGCTTCCAGGACATGGGAACTGCTGAGCTGAGTCTGAAAGAACAAATAATATTTCAGGCTGGGAAGAGAAGAAAGGAAATTCCAGGCAAGGGCAGCAACACTTGTAAAGAGACAGAAGTCAGCAAGTGGAGGCAGGTGGACCTTTTGGGAGTCGAATGTCTGCAAGCATCCTCACCTTCCCTGAGTCAGAGATTTTCATCCAGACTGAGCAGCACTTGCTCAATGATAGTCATGTTGCCAGGGGCATTTGACTGAGCCCCAGATTCTAGCACAGGCCTGAACAGCTCCCAAACAGCAGATGGAAATTATCTCTGGGGTCTCTGAATCATCCTCATTTCAGACAGGTTTTCCAATGTAGGCCATGTGAGCTCATCACTAAATTGTTTTCTCTGAACTTACCCTATAATAATACAGGACTTAAGCAACTCCATGCCAGATTTTGTGTGTAAACTGCATTTTAATACAGGTACATTGTCCACAATTTCCATTTTATCTATACTGGGATTCTATAATCTCCCAAACTGATTTTTTCTCCACCCCCTTGAGAAGCTTACTGTGCCTCACCCTGACTCACACGCTGTCAAGGGTGCACTCTGCTATGTCTCTGGGCCCGGAAGACTCAGCTCAGGGATTTTCCATCTCTAGAAACTTGGTATACAGTAGGTGCTCAGGGAGTGCTATGAAATGAATAGGTACCCCCAGACCTGCTGAAACAATGACCTTTTCTTCCTGTTTCTGGTGGCTGTAGACATTACCTGGGGACACCCACACTCTCTTTTTCCTACCAGATTCTCTCAGACCACTGACACACTGAGGCTTTTTTGGTTTTATTATACAACAACTTACACAGTG